AGTCCCTCTGTCTCCACCTCAGCTACGATGGAGTCCCTCTGTCCTCACCTCAGCTACGATGGAAGTCCCTCTGTCTCCATCTCCTCGCTCTGCTCTTGCCCTTGTTTTCCCCTCTTCGAATATGGTCCCTGTCCCCACCCCCAATACATGCATGAGCACACACACACGCGCGCACACACACACACAATCTCTCCTCTTTCTCTTAAACTGACCAAATTAATAAAATAACATTTAAATGGACCTGGGGCCCCCATTTAAATACACCTGTTGAAATAATTATGTTGTGATGTGAACAGTAACTCTCTAATTCATCTTTGTAAATTAAGAAATGTGTATGTTAGCTACCAGTTTTTCAGAAAAACTTATAAAAACAGGCTTTTACTGTTTGAAGGCATTTGTGAGACTCTACTGAATAGCTTCACTTGCTTCAGAAAGGTCTCTGGATACAGGTCAGATATTAACTATTAAAATTAATTCACAGATTTAAACCCATCTATAACAGTAGTCACATTTTAAAATGGAAATAAGCAATGCCTACTCCCTTGGCGTAAATTCCCTTTTAAGGGGACCCTACTTTCTTATTCCACACCCACTCCTCTACAATGGAAAGGCAGCACCATTTTGTGCTTACTCAAATTGATGCCTAACTTTTCCCTTTTCAGAACTTCTGATATATGGATCTCACAAATACTTGTTAAAAGACAGAGAACATTTTTTTTATTTTAGCTGTGTCATTGTCCTGGCTGATGGTAATTATTTCAAACCATTAAAACAATGAAGACTTCCTTGTTCCCTTTCAGATGTCCACCATGGTACTCAGTGTTCACTGCCGCTCCCAGCACGACTTGCCCAGGGGCAGAGAGGTGACTCTGGAGTGCCCTGTCCGGCAGCGGGCCAGAAACTCGTCCAGACTCCCAGAGACACAGTGAAGTGCCCTGTCTGGCAGCGGGCCAGAAACTTGTCCAGGCTTCCAGTGGAATGCCCTGTCCAGCAGGGGGCCAAAAACTCATCCAGGCTCCCAGAGACAGTGGAGTGCCCTGTCCAGCAGGGGGCCAAAAACTCATCCAGGCTCCC